TTTTATCTTCTTCCACTTGTTCTGCTTCACCGCCATCTTGGAGTTCAAGCGAAACGAAAACATTGATGGGTCATCGTATGATACGTACACTCGGTAACTTGACTTGGGCTCCTTGGATGGCTTCTCTTGAAGAAGAAATTACATAGATCGCGTACTCGTCCTAATTTCCAAGCGTTCCGTTTAAGAAGTGGGTCTGCTATGAGCACTAATGTATTCCGAGCTGGCGTTTCGCTAGTTCCGCTCTGCTGATCAAAGGTTTGTGCTTTTCTCGAAGGTTGGTCAAATACTGATCTCACGTTAGTTTCCAAAAATTTTCAGTTATTTTGAGGCTCGTCTTCAGCGCGTCTTCTGCTTGTTGACGAGTTCTGAGTTGCCCGCTTCCTTAGCTGGTAGATACTGAGTACCATTATCGTCTGTCGTACATGATTTGAAAGGATTTGTAATAATTATGACACGTTTAATGAAGTCCATGGGTATCAAAATTGGAGTTTCTTCCCAGTTTTTCTTCTCGATAGTGGAGTGGCCTGTGTTCAAGGTGCCCTCGATCTCGATAATGATGGTCTTCAGTTCTGTATTTGTCTATTGCTTTCTGTGCCACTTTATAGAGTGGGCGCTTGATGGTTTTTATTAGTCGCTCGTAGAATGCTTTTGCCATGGCGCAAAAGGGTTTGATTGCTTTCCATTCTATTCCTCAAGAGGCTAAGGCATTGACTAATGAGCTGTCTCATGTGATAAGTTGCATAGCAACTGTGAGAATCTGTTCTGCCAAGAGAAAATTTCGATGCATTCTCCGACGTGATTATTGGTGGGAAATCTCTTCTTGCAGAAAAATCGACGTAATCCATTCAGAAAACTGTTTGTGATCATATCTGAAACTAACTCTATATGAAACACTTAATGTCCTGCAGATGAGGATTATTTCATTAAGCCGAATCACTTCTCAGTTTTCCGTTGAGAAAGCGGTCAAAAGTAGTCTATTCCAATGTGTTCAAATGGTTTTGACCTCACTACACGCCGTTCGAGAAGATTCTCCATCTCCGGATACTTGTAAGGGAGGTTATTCTTATTTTTTTGTATGGAATGCATTTCCTTATGATACTCGGGTCAATTCACGGAGCTTGTGTATCCGTTGTTGAGATAAGCGATGAAACTTAGCTGGATTTGGAAGGCGGGATGGCAGTAGGGGAGATAGGGTGGATGCTGAAGTAGGTTTGGCCGTTGTATCGGTGTTTGATATTGTATTTCGGAAGTTGCAGGCCAATTGCTTTAATCGTCTTTGCTAACAAGAACTTGGGACCGTTCCACCACCAAAGCGTTTCGAACTTCTTCTTCAGAAGCCCGCAAGTTGCACAGTGCACAGTCTGCAGGGTTGGCGTTTGTATTCGCATAACCAAACCTATCGGAAATCCCATCTTTCTTCAAGTCTTCACTGATGGTAAGTATCTCTTTGCAACGATTACAAAGTAATACCCCGACCTTGCTGTCACAGTCAGATATGGCTAGCCATGCAAGTGCTATTTCTGAGTCTGAATAGATGGTGACTGATTGTATATGAAGTTGATTTTGGAGAACTCTCATAGCAGTGTTGACGAGACGAGTTGCCATCGTCAGGGTGTTCATTTCAAGCTTTGTGGAATTATCCTTCATCGATGGGAGCTTCGATTTCGCGATGTGTAATTCTGCTTGTTTATTGTGACCTACATAGATATACGCATGCTGCCATGGCTTCTTTGCTTGCGTCAGCAAAGCTTGCAAGGTGTGCAAGCGGTGTCTCGTTCCGCCTCTTCCTTTTCTTGGAATACGCTACGTAAACCCTTGTATTTGTGATCTTATATGTTTCCATTCAAACTGGTGATTTCTGGTAACAGAAATAGAAAGAGCTTTGCTTTGATCATCAGTGGAGTCATCCATCAGAAAAGATCATATAATGATGCGACTTGCTCTGATGTGCTTCGCTTTATAACAACCGTTTTCTCTGGCATTCGAGCTCGATGTTATCTTCTGCTGAACCCCACTTTAGCCCTAATATCTTTGGTTTTGTTGAGTGGCTCAGCTTGCCAGCTGGAAGGCGTTAGTTGACTTCTGTAGAATTAGTTCTGGACTCGCGCAAGTTCATGTCCATTTCAGCGAGAATTTGCCATGCACTACTGCAGCATTGCAGTGCTTCATCTGGTGTAGATGTAATCATGATTACGTTGTCTACATACACGTCCTTCATCAAAGCGGCGATTTTTTTGTCATTTCAGATGTACTATGACTGTGGCTCAAAGTAGAAAAGGTGAAAAGTTGAGACCGAACGTGACACACATGAACCGAAAGTTGACGATATTGTTCTCATCCAACGGTTTTAGATATCACGCATCCACAAACAGCTGTTGCATCTCGATTTCGAGTTTGTGAGTAAACTTGTAGGGAAGCTTTTTTCTACATCGCTGATAAATGCGATATTTCCCATACGAATGCGGAGTAGTATGTCGATTAGGGAAGGTAGAATGAGCGGTCCTTAGTGAAAATTGTCGTTGAGGCAAGGAGAGTTTTTGAAGTGCGCGGAGACATCAAAGACAACACGAGCGTTTAGTGGTGTCTTTATTGGGCGTGATCACGGCCTGGTGTGCCAGATAATGAACGACCGAACCATCTTGATCCGTGTCCTGCTCGACCTCTTCGATCACTCCTTTAGCCAGTTGATCTTGGAAGACGTTGTGATATTGTTTCAGTGAATTTTGGGTGTTCGAATGTTGACTGAATGTTGTTGTGAGGTGTCTGAATTTTGACTGAATGTTTTTGAGCCTTTCATAGCCTATTGCGCGAGTGTCGGGGAAGGTCTTGGCCTCGTATTCCGATGGTAGACGGACCTGGTAACCATCTCCATGCCTTTCCACAGCGGCTCGAAAGTGTTTCCAGACTCTGTCGTTGATCGCACAAATCTCTTGCGGGTGGGATCCTGTATATTTTTCAACCCTTGAAAACTCGAGGCTCCGAAATTGATCCCACAGTTTGCTTTCGCTGCTGCGGTTGCATGTGATCGAGGCATGTCAAGCTGCGTGTCCGAGGGAAAGATGGATCTGATGGTGCCGGTGAAAACATATCCTATTCTTGATTCTATGAGTCGTAGTCCTGATGGAAGATGTGTTCGCATCCAGTTTTTCTATCAAACAGGTCGCTTCAGCCCACTAGAATAGAAGTGTGCAGGGTTGTGACCTTTGGTGGAATAGAAAGTCAAGTGTTGCGTTTTTGTGGGTGCTTTCTATCTGGTTTCTGGAGTTCAGTCCGTTTTACTTTTCCTGTGATGGAGTCGACCTTTGCTTATTCGAAATGTGTTGGACACCTTGACGGTCTTCGATGTAATTCGAGTAATCATACAGACTTGTTCTTCTGAAGAGCTGGATCGGACGTGTGGATTGTTAGCTGTACTTGGCCTGTCTTGCAAGCGCCTAGGTGCTCTGCGTAGTCACCAGTAATGAACGACTGTTCTGCACCTGTGTCCAGGATGATGTCAGCATCTTCAAACTGTTTCTCCGTAACATTCTAGGCGCAGGTTCCACCAGGAGATCGTCTGAATGTTCTGATGAGCTTATGGACTTTTCTTGAGGTAAAATGGTGTGATCGCCTATTTTGCATGATTTTGGGTACTGCTCTGCGATGATTGTTGTGAAGTTCTGATTCGCTGTCCTTTTCTTTGCAATGCTACTTTGAGCAAATTATTGGACCACGATCGCTTCCGTAGAAGAAGCAATGTGCTCTTGCGCCTCAGCTACTTTTGATTTTGGTTTTTCTCACGGTGAATGTAGTGCTTGCAGTTGATTCTTCATTCTCGGTCATGGGTGCTTGTATGTTCTCTATTTGAGCTTCTACTTCAATAACATCTTGAAGATCTTTGCGCAACTGCCTCGTTGTCCATTCTTGATCTCATGATGCTACTCTCTTTTTTAGTACAGACCTCCGAATTTTTCCGTTAAATATTGATAGAATTGTTCCTCGTGTCTGCTAAGTGTTGATGTTCTCACCTTTACGTTCGAGTTGAGCAATAATAGGGAGAATCGTGCTGATGTGCTTATTTGGTCTAGAGTTTTACCGTTTTCGTTTGTAGGCTTTGAAGGTGTTGTAGCAGATGATTGGGTACTGCCTCTTTGTTGTATTCTTCCTCAAAAGTTGAATAGCGACGCCGTATTTGTCTGTCGTGATCAGAAGCTATTTTACCGTATCCTCTGCGGGTCCCTTGAGTGCCTCTATTAAGTGGCCCAGCTTCTCGATTTGCTGATGTTACTCTTGTGGATGACAGTATCGGAAACTTCCCAAAAATGATTCCATTCCCATAATTGTCCTTGAAATTTGGGAATTGGAAGAGGAGCGAGGCGTGGCTTGAGCGTGTCATCTGAGATAGATTCGGATAACGGTATATCCGCATTCTGCTTAGTAAAGAAAGTAGTAAAAAAAGGAGTGAAGAAAGTTTGATTAGATGTCTCACAAGGTTGGCGATTTATTCCAGTCTCGGACGGGACTCGAACCCGTAGTTGTATCCTGGCATCGTGCTCTATCCCATACACCACTGAGACCCGCTTTCCCCCGCATCCTTGGTGGCTTATATGCCATTGCTTATCAGCACTCACACGTACAACGTGTTGAGCCGGTCGGCCAATATCAACACTGAACCGTTATGCCGAAAGCTTTACTTGATATAACTTTTTTTGACTTGATGTTTTGTTAACTGCTGTTATTTCGCCACAGTACGCGCTGCGAAAGTCTCACAGGGTTGGCGATTTCTGGACAAAACTTCAGTCTCGGACGGGAATCGAACCCGTGGTTGTATCCTGGCATCGCGCTCTATCCCATACACCACTGAGACCCGCTTTTCCTCGCCTCCTTGATGGCTTATATGCCATAGCTTATCAACACTCACACGTACAACGTGTTGACCAATGTCAGCACTGAACCGTTAAGCTGAAAGCTTTACTTGGCATAACTTGTTTTACCTTGTTGTTTTGTTAACTGCTGTTATTTTACCGCAGTACGCGTTTGATCAGATGGTTCTGACCTTTGAGGTAGATTGTTTGGGCCGCTTCGACTTTTTCTTCAATTTTGGCCATTTGTTTTTCGTGTGGCAGTTGTTGCATCTCATCAGCTGCCTCCATGTAGCAGTCATGCGCATTCTGCAGATTTTTCATTTTGAGATCCGTTCTTGATGTGTAACCAGCGCAACCGATTCGGACGATCCACGCTATTATTACTGTCATGCGCTGAATCGATTGGGTTCTTACTGAGTGTTTCCTTCAGAATAGCACTCATACGTGTAAGCCACAATTGTTTTCCTGCTAAATTCACTGCCATTCCGAATCAAATGTTAACCTTGATGAAGCCAACGGCGTCCCGACAGGAAGCTGGCTGTTCAGAAGATGGACTTAATTCGAGCGAAGAGGGGACTCACGTATGCTTCGGCTGATGCACCAATTGTATGGGTCCGCCGACTCACTATTGTATTGGATGGATGAAGACGATCAACAACAACCTTTTCATTGTGGCAGTTGTTCATTTCATTCTTCATTCAAGCGTTGGTTGTCTTGCTCATAGAAAGAGTCTGTATATCCCGGGAGGGCCTCACCTTCAACCGACACGGTGTGAGATGGCTGTGCAGAAGCTTCGGAGTGGACGAAGAAGATAACTTAGTGACACTGTGGGTGGCCGGCATGATAGTGTATGAATGCAGGGAAAGTGAAGATCGATGATCTGGCTGCCCGGACGATAAGAGATCCTACAGCAGTTCCAGAACTAAAGAACTCATAGAGTATTCATTTCTTGTCATAAAGAAATTAGGAAATTCTAAAGAGATCTAGGAGTAGCCGGAGATGGTAGCCATTGAAAGAACTTACAGTGAGAACTTATAGTAAACTTATAGTACTTCTAATTACTAGACCCATCAAAAAAAAGAACCCTCTAACTATACACTATTTTAAAGAGGCTGAAGGTGGCCGAGAGGAATAGAGCTATTGAAAGAACTTTAATTGACGACTTACAGTAGTTCCATTTACTAGACTTATTAGCTGATAAACACTCTTACTATGTAAGTTTTGTTGAAGAGTGCTAGAGGTGGCCAAGAGGATAAGAACACGAAAGCGCTCGATGGGAGATCAGTAGTTAATTCATCGATTATTTAATTCTTTTACTATCCAGGAAATTTTTAAGAGGATGCTAAGGGTTCTCTTCGACCTATGTAGTGGTCACGGGGCTGCAAATCGGTCCTAGCTACTCTTTGTGTCTGACCTAAGATAGTTCCTTCACTGGTATGATATCGCTNCTCGGCCTTCGTAAAAGTATCGCACGACGCTCTTCCGCAGTTTCAATTTCTCTCCTTAACTTTTTTCGGGTTGCCTCCTTCTCAATGTTTCAAAGATTCATTTTCTATTCCACGTTCAGGCTGTTCTCTTCTTAATGAATTTCAGATGAAAATCAGTACAAGAAGTAGGTTAGAAGCAGTTATTATTTACATCAGCAAGATTGCTATTTCACTTTTCAATGAATTAACTCGTTGAAAATGCATTCATCCACCGAATTCGTATTTTATTATCAGTCGAGTTCATTTGACAATTGCAACAAATCACCACGAAAATCTAAATATCGACAGGAAGAGTCATATACTTCAGTTATCCAACAGCTGAGACCTCAATAAGTACCAATCCAGATTTCAGTCTACTATTCACGTTGGTCAGTACCATAGAGAAGACGCTGTGTTAGTGAAACCAAAAGAGGAAATCATTCAATTGGCAAAGGCGTTAAGATCCTAAGATCCTACACCTTTCTGATCACAAAATTGCTGGGGCAGGAAGGAGCACTAATAGTGAAGGAAGACTGAAACAAAACAAATGTAAGTGAAAATATTGTTAGGGGTTTGCACATAACAGTGCTAGCATAACAGGAAATTAACACGGTTTTACGTAACACTGTTTACGTTTACGTGTTAATTCGTGCTATACAGGTGCTGCTCGTGTCAGAGACGAAGAGCAGGATGACCAAGGGCGATCTGCACTCTTACGCGGGTTTTAGCCTGGGGAGACAGTTGTGGTTTTAAAACTTCGAAAGTCAAAAAATGCATGTTCCTGGTATAGCACGGATCGGGAATCCTTTATTCTACTGGATGAAGCCGACAGGATATACTTCGGCAGCATAGCACTGCTTGCAGCGGCACTGGAGAGGCTGTCACTGAAGAGTGTCACGGTGAGGGGAAGTTCTGAATGACGATAGAGTTAACGAGTGGACAGAAAGCAAAAGGTGTGGTTTTCAGTGCGATGGTCGCTTAAGCAGATCCCAACAGTAATAAATAGAGGAACTTCGTCCCAATTCTATTCAATCCTGGGAGTAATAAGTGAAGGCACCGTCATCTCACTCATGCTTGCCATCATATCGGATGAAACGGAAAAAAAACCTATCGCAATTTGGTTCCGCTTCTTGTGGGACACATTATTAGCTCTTGGCAGAAGACGTGCACTGATGCCCCCCGGCTGCATATTCTTATTTGACTTCGAGCTCCCTGCAATCCGAGGCGCAACACTAGAATAGCCATTTCTAGTGAAAGGGTAAAATAAAAGTAAATGGCAAGGAATTACAAGGCTCTTGAGTTGTTGTCTCAGGTGCTTCCTTTCACTTCACTCAGGCCGTTGTGCGACACCGAGTTACACTGTCTGAAGGCAGCCTCTGCAGAAAACCCTGTAAATGGCACCTTCTTTCGACGGGTACGAATGCTGCCGCTGCTTCGTTCCGAATTCCACAATCTCATAGGCACTCGCGATGCCACACCCTCCTCTAGTCACCGCTACTGAGCACGCAGCTCTTCTAAAATTTATAAGGGACTGGCAAAACGAATGGGAGTTGTGAGGGAGATTTTTGGACTTGTCGGACCAATAGCCGAATATGGGTTTGCGAACCACCAACGTGGCTGAGGGCTTCCACACCAAGATAAGAGCCACCTTTCCGAGAGGCACACCAACCTTCAAGCAAGAGCTAAGTTTCATTCAGACTCACCTAATGGTAGGAAAGGCGTTGGTGGGGCCAACAGCAAATGGGGCTCGCAAAGGGACATCAGAATATCAGAGGAACAAAAGCAGCGGAGTCGCTGAGAAAATTCGTAGGTTTGCTTATATCCACGTCTCCCGCGGTATTTTCCCTTCGACTAGAGAATGTGAAAACTTTCCGGCCTTTTTAGCAAGTAGATTAGCACATAAGTTGACCGCCATTTTAAATATTAGCACATAAAATGATCGATCTTTGACACATTCTTGATAACAACTGTATTAGGTGACGAGTACACATGTATATTGTGTATTATATTGTATTGTGTTGTTGTATAACATTATTGTTGTTATGTATTATTACTACGTGCGTTTCAAAAGTATGTGCACATCGAACAATTTGTTTTTTTTTNTTTTTTTTTGAGAATACCATTGCTTTCCGTAACCTGTGACTTTCACAATTCAATTCGTTGTGTGCGATAACTTACGAACACTTTCTCTGAGAAAACATCGCAGCTGCTAACACAATTTTTTATTGAAGAAAAGTTTTTCTTTGTTCCAAAAGTATGTGCACACTTAGCGAAAAACAAAAACACAACCGAGATCAGAAATCAATAGGGCTTCCTGAATTCCTTTGGAGGTTATGACCACGAGAAGTCGTTTGAGAACGGTTTCGTTATAGTAGGTTCTTTAGTTACCTTTGAAATGAAAAATTTTGAGTGTGCACCTACTTTTGAAACTTCAACTTTGCCGCTCTTTTTCATGCATTGCTAGATTCATTCAAGACTCCGGCACCTATCGCTCACAACCTATTCCTGGCCGTCCACTTATTTTGACTGCTTAGGACAACAGGAGAAAAGCCCTCTTGTGGCGAATACGTCTTTGTCTGTGAGCAGTTTCGCGTACGACCGTTTGGCGCTCTATCCACTCTAATGGGTATATCACACGAGAGACGATGAAGAAGACTAGTCGACTCATTACTTGGCAGAGGCCGATAAGGAGTTTGGTCGTAGGGACATGGCAACATAATAGAACAAGGTACGGTTATTCGAGAATTTCCAGGACTTTCCTATTTTTAGAACAAACAACGTGTTGTATCCATTTTGTTCTTAGGTCATCTTCTCTGATGCAAAGAAGTTCAATCTCGATGGGCCAGATGAATTTCGTCATTACTGAGGGTCCTCCGCCGAGAGCCACTCGTGTTTTCGAGGAGGAATTTCGGAGGAGGCTCTTCGATGGTCTGGGGCGAGCTAACTCCAGCCTTATCAGCGTGTGGCGAGTATTGAGTCGAGGAGCCTTCTTCATTATCTCTCGAGTGATATATTCGTTAGAGCAGATAGAGCGCCAAACGGTAGTACGCTAGACTGATGGACATATCTGAGCTCGCATATGACTCACAGACAAAGAAGTATTTGCCACAAGACGTGCTATTCTCCTGTTGTCCTCGACTGTCAAAATACGTGGGCGTCCAGGAATAGGCTGTGAACGATAGCTGCCAGGGTCTCGAATGAACCTAGCAATGCATGAAAAAGAGCGGCCCAGTTGAAGTTTCAAAGGTATGTGCATCTCGAAATTTTTCAGTTCAAAGGTAACTGAAGAGCATACAGTAACGAAACCATTCTCAAACGACTCCTCGTAGTCGATAACCTCTACAGAACTTCAGGAGACCCTATCGATTTCTGAGCTCGGTTTATTTTTGTTCTTTGCTAAGTGTGCACATACTTTTGAAACAAAGAAAACATTTTTCACTAATTCATTGCGTACCGTGGGGTTTCCGCGCTGGCTGGCGCGTGTGCCCGGCGCCTACTTCGTCATCGAAGCGGCGTGACTCACGGTGTACAGCACGCGGCCACACAGAGCAGTTTTTTGCAGCGAAACGCATAGTATGTTCCGTTCGAACTTGATTTTGAACTATAGAGTAATTTTGCCCCCAAAACTCCCTTTCAAACAAAAATTACTTCAGTAGATAGCAATGGATGAGTTGAACAAATCATTTGACGATCTGCTTATCGAAAGTGATGACGAATTCGATGAAGGAGGGGATGTCTTGGACGAAATGGTCGTGAATGCTGTGGAGTCAAGGGAGGAGTCGGACTGGAATTAGAGTGATGAGCAATCGGATTCGAGCGATGAAGGAAGTCAATGGTCTTCAAACATTCGAAGGCGGGATCAATTCCGTTTTCAAGGGTTTGAAGGGGTACTGGATAGAGACGTACTAGACTATCAGCATTCCA